TCTCTTAGAAATGTGTGCTATTTATATGATAACTGAATTTTTTTTGCATACAATACGTACGTACGTACGTACGAATAGTGCATATCTGACTGATTAGAGTTTAGAACCGGTTTTAATCGGGTTTAACATATGAAAAATAAAACTGGTTTCAAACTCTAGAAGATATTATTCAATATCACAGTGTTATCATTGTATCAAGCCTGATAGAATTTGAGGCCTGTTTTATTTTCATATGCCGCATCCAGACTTAACCGGGCTTATTATGAAAATTAAACTTGATTCAAACTCTAATTTTCGCTACGTATAAATTATAACGCTGGTCTAGAATCTACTCCCATAGGACCATGAGAGATCGTCCAGAACACCAATCAAATCACTTTCAAACTGGATTGGCCAATGGAGCCTTAATGAAGCTGCGAATGGTGCTTTCAACTGACCGATACCAATCAGATCTTTTTAAACAACACAATGAGCAAGCTTTTAAGTAATAAAACCTTACATTAGGTTTAGATGTTTATGCCTAAATTACTGAGTTTTTTTTTTATTTTATTTTATTTATATATATATTTATTTATATATTTATTTATATATTTATTCTGTGGCTTTTCAAAATTTCACGTTACACCTGATCCGATGATTTAATTGGTATAACTTTCTTTCACGTAAGCTTTGGTCTAGATCAGGCCAATTGACCTGATCTGGACAATATCTGGACCAACTGGCAGATTTAGAAAATCAAATTTGCTTTAGGGTTTATTTATTTCTGAGACACGAAGAGCAGAAAAAGCTACCATACAACTCATCATGATTAAAAATTAAATAGGAGGCTTCTGCATAGACGTAGTCATATGACATTTAGAGGTATGTAATAACGCTTGAACATATGCAGATTATTTCGAGTACGCATATGTGCGTTATTTTGAGACAATGGCCAATTTTCTGACATAAGGTGACATTCATATTGGCTAATTTATATTGATTCAAACATCATTAACTAATCAAAATTAAAGAACTTAATATGATATTTAACCTTATATGTTCTTATATGGGAATATGAGATATTTTTGGGCGCACAAGAACATTGATTCAAAACCATGCATGCTATTTTTTAAGGAACACGATTTTTCCTATGCACGTTATTTTCGCGAAAACACGGTAATCAATAGGGCCAAGAAAATATTGCAATTTATGCATCTTAAGTAACTAGGAGGTGCAACATTTAATTCTTCTATAATTAAATGTCACATCGAGATAAACCTAAATTAGCATCATGAATATTTCCCATAATGCTTGAAATATTCGCGATTGAAAATTTCACACTTTACGCCCAATTACTTCCCCTTATATTTCGAAACCAAATACGTGATGCCAGACCCGACAATGACATTCCTATATCTAGCTATACATTGTAAGATGAATAAGATACTTTTTTTGTCGTGTGTGCGTCCAGACATATGCATAATAGACACGAAATGTGATTAATTTTTATTGTTTTTACGTGATTTATGCGACGTTTGTGAGGGCGTTTTAAGCGAATAATAAATGCATATGTATATAATCATTACGGCGCATTTGTAAAATACCCCAAAATTTGAAAAATTTGACTGCTAATACGTAAATAGTACTTTTGGCTAAGATAGTCAATGGGTTAAGGTGCGTCATTATAATAAATTTATGTCTAATGAGATGTGTCAAAGAGTATTAACCTGTGGGGAAATAGGTTAGACTCATTGTTATTATAGATCGGAGTGCCAATAATTTTTTTGGAAAACACGCTGTAATGTGTTAAAATTTTTTTTTTTATCATCTTAAATTCATAATTATCATATTATACAATAATCATATTTATAACAGTACGAATATGGTTTCATCGCACAATGTAAAATTATACACCACACAAAAATGCGTTTCAAATCGCACAATCTGGACACTTTAATGCTCATGTCATTCATAATTCAAATCTTGTTGAGATGAATCAAATAAGCAAATCATTCATTTTGGACAAAATAATACCAAATTTGTATAAATTATATTAAAGTACTTTAGATTTTAAATGTAATTAAGCCTTATTCACCTTTATATGATTTGAATGACGGAAAGAGAAAACCTGACATCATTTCACTCCTCAGGAGTAAAATTCACTGTGATGACAATGAGTGAATGATTTACAGGTTTTCTCTTTCATTTAAAAGCTTAAAAGGAGCTCTTTATTTTCCTTTAAATGAATACTTATAGTCTGCCTTGGGGCATTGGATTACATGAACTAAACAGTATTCTTGAGAGTCGAAAAAAAAGATTATTGACCAATTTAGCATTTCTAAAGTCAAGACTTGGATTCGATCAATTTTATGTACGTACGTGTTTACTTATCTTATGAGAAATCTTGTATACAGTATTGAAAAAAAAAGATTATAATGCAGGACATCTAATCGTGTCGAAAAATAACTACTGATTGCAATTAAGTTTAATAACTTTTTATACAGTATATAAAAAAAAACTTTATATAATAATATTTTTTAAAATCTAAAGTATATAAATATAGAGTTTTTAAAAAAATAGTTTATTATAGAAGTTATTCTAAAAGCTCTAAAATTTTAACACTAATAGAAAAAAGAATATAGCTATATGGTACACCTAGGGATGGTAAAAAATCATTTTTCACCGATTTAAATCATGCGATGATTATACTCCAGATATGCTGAGGTTTAAATTTAATATATTCGGATCATAATCATAACATGATTTAAATCGGTGAAAAATGATTTTTTACCATTCCTAGGTACACCATGCATTTATTGCACCTTTTACTATATCTCAAAATTTTACTAGGATAACCCTGTTGTGTAACTAATAAAAAATGCTTCTCTCACAATTTACCTCAGTCCAATCATAACCCTAACTTTATCTTTATTCTAATATTTGCTTATTTGACTATTAACACATAAGGTGCACTGTTTAGATTTTTTCTAGAAAACAAAATTATTAATTATAAGAGATTTGACAATCATTATAAGTAATTAAAATTAAATGTTGTACGATGTAGATCCATCAAGTTAGTAGATCTTGCTTAAACCTAATACGTAGAACAATTTGACTGTAGAAAGTAATTTATATTAAATGTATCAGGTTATATAGTGAAACTAAAACGGAAAATTAATTACATAATTTGATTATTCATACGCAACTCGGTGGATCACATTTGTTTAAATGTATGCTTCAAATTTGATTCTAGACAGGTATAGTTACTTAAGCTCATTAATTTAATACATTTAAGCATCCAATTTCGCCAATCTTTTAACGGTATTGGTACTTTTAGAATTATCTAATGAATTACCAACCAAAGTTATATTAACATAATTAATGAAGTTCGTTCAATGGCATGATATGACTTGACAAATTGTAACAAGTTTTAATATCATACAAAGAAGATCTAGATTCAGATCTCAGATGCATATTAATATTATTAATTATTCTATTCTTGGCAACCCATTTTCCCGTTTTAGGATATTTTTCCACAATATTTCTCCAATAAGACATTCTCCGATATCTTTCAAATCTTTTAAGATGAAACACGTTTTTTGTGAAGTGTTCTGTAAGGAAAATAGAAGTTCTTAGTGCCTTGTCTGAAACACATCAATAGCTTTACTTAACGCGTGTATTATAGAAATTCAATATTAAAATGCATATTTTTTATTAGGATAGGATTATAATTTATATGTAAAGTATATATTTTAATTTGAATTCCAATATCAATCAAGCATTCAATTTTCTTTCTATTCTTCTTTCATACGCGTATGATTTCATATTTTATATGAATGCTATTTCCTTATTTGGCTGTAAAACGAATAAAACGGAACCTTACAAATTTAATTATATATAAATGATTTATATTTAGAAAGTGTAATTAAGCGTGATATCCTAATAATAACGTAAGCTGAAAGTCCTATAATCTCCATATATGTAGAACAAACATCTCAACCATGTTCGGATAACTAATACTGTAATAACACCGATTAACTTCCATGAAAACTATCTCCATTTTATAAAATATAAAAATGTATTATACTGTAGCATGTCTGAAATATTGAATAAATTTTCAAGATCATCTAAATCTAGATAATCCCAGACTACCAAATATCTATATCTCATCTCAAAATAATAAATAATAGAGAATTTCTATTTGTACACGGGCATATAAAAAGCTAACCAATATCAAAATTTTTATTACGAAACCACCTTTCGGCTTCTAACAAAAAAAAAATTTCTTGCGAGATTTTGGTGTATACTATACCTCGCCCCCAATTCAAATCCACTTAACCGTAAACAAGGTTTTTTTCGTTTGTAAAAATTGTTTTGATTAGCATGTTATACAGATTTGTAAATTACTACCCGTGTACATGCACCCCTGTGCAAAATAATAATTTTCTCTTAAATAATAAACAAATGACTATAACTATAAATAGATTAGATATCTTAGATAATCGTCAACGTTAAGTTATTACGTAATGAATACCTATTTAAAATTTTTATATATAATATACTGTATATACTATATATATATATATATATATATATATATAAATATAATTCATAATAACATATATATCATTCAAGTTATAAAGCCTCCTTTTCCCTTTTATTTTAAGAAAATTTTATCAATGATAAATGGCTCGACAAACGGATAAAAATTGTGATAACTGTGATATTAATTAGTGTGACAAAAGTGTTTCCATACAGTTCGCCTTTTTGGGCAGTATTGTAAAATTTTAAATTAGTGATTGATAAATTAAAAATAAATCATACCTCCTCTCCAAGCCTTTAACTTAGTTCTATTTGCATCTTCGCTAGAATTCATCTGGATTATACCATTTTTGGCAATCATTGGCATCAAACATAGTTAAAAATCAAACGTATTTGAAATATTACACTTGGCTACAAATTGTTGTTTCTTTTCTTTTTTTTCTTTTTTTGTAACAAGTCTGTTCTCTAAGCTCTTTTCCATGACACTCCCTTTCTCTACTGATATTGTTCCACCGCATCAGTATAACGGCTCACCATGTCAATATGGGGTGTGCACTGAATGTGGAGAAGTACGAAGGAGTCCCTGCTGGTGTTTTACGTGTGAGACTACCAATTTTATAAAAAATTTCGATAAGTGGACAAGTGGAAATTCGTTTCTTGATGGCATCATTAGGATTACTCAATCTCACGCGACTGAGAGTATGGCATATTTCGAATGGATACCATTTGAAAATTTTGTCCTTGTTGAACAAATAGCGAGTGGTTCTTTCAGTGCTATTTATATAGGTTATTGGCTTGAAGGTCCAAGATGGATATGGGATGAAGAGAGTGAAAATTGGCTTAGAAATGGACCGACAAAATGTGCTCTCAAAAAAATAGGTAATTCTAGCGAAATAAGTAATGCCTATTTAAATAATGTAAGTTTTTTTTTTTAATTCTACACAATTATTTTTCCTATATTGTGATATTTTATAATATAAAAAGATATTTTCGTCCATTTCGGTGTCGTTTAAGTCTGATCTCTGCATTTTTTAATGGTAGGGTACGTACACATTAACTAATATTGCCTGCAAGTTCGTTACACAAATTCATTAATTAGAGTACCAATAATTTGATTAGTAATTATATATTATTGAAATTTAGTCGTGTCCCAGGCAAAATTAGTAAATGAGGTAATCTCATGAGGGTACCAAGACTTAAACGACCCCTTTCCAGTGAATATTTTCATTCGTAACATGGCAATCTGTTAATCTGTATCACTCGAGATAAGAAAGGTCTTCACATGAATATAACTGAATTTTTTGCACAGTACGTACGTGTGTGTTGTAGTACTGTGCCATAATCAAAAATTTTCGAATATCGCTATCAAAATTTTGTCGATCATGTTGTGACCAGTCAGATTATTATCATTAGCAAAAATACTATTCTTGATGGATCGTCGGTACTGTTCTTGATAGAGTTTTAAAAAAAATTTATTTGAGTGCTGTTCCTGATAGGGTTCTAAAAACGAACCCTAATCTTAGTTTTTTTATATATATTTTTGATATAGTATATGAGTGCCGTCAAGGGAAAACCTGCAATCGGGCTTTCAATGTTCAGTTTGTTTTCTGTGTGCCATCTAGGAATAGTCTATTATCGGCCTTTAATTATATTTTGACAAAATATAATTTAAAGCCCGATGATAGACTATTCCTAGATGGTACACAGAAAACAAACTGAACATTGAAAGCCCGATTGCAGGTTTTCCCTTGACGGCACTCATATATAGTATTTTAGAGGCCCTTTTTAGATCCCTATCAAGAACAGTATATAAATCTATTTTTTTTTTAATGTAACTATCAGGAACAGTACCGACAATCCATCAAGAATGGTATTTTTGCTTATCGCAGTCTTTCCTAACCATTAACCCAGCATCGGGCTAACAGATTATAATTTCCAACATGTATTTACGCATTTTCTGTTATTGGTCGTGGTTACATCTCATCGGCGATTTAACGTGCCTGCGACCAATAGGAACTGCAGAAAAGTGGAAAATTAGGAAACACTGACATTTCCTAGATTGCATCATTGCATAATTACATAAATTACATAACTCAGTATCAATGTCGTGATTACGTAATGAAAAATTAATTTTTTTTTTTTTTTTTGATATTACATTTTATATAGATTTCAAATTATTATAAATGCATACAAAGTGGTTCAGTGGCCGATTTCTTTGGAATAACGTGTGACTCAGAGGGTTGCTATATGTTTGTTATGAGATTTTACGAAAATGGAAACTTGTATCAATATCTTGACGATGCTATGGGATACCTTTGTTGGAGAGATATCGTTGATATGCTTTGGGGAATTGCTAATGGCCTTGAACGAATTCATGATCATGGACTTTATCATGGTAATCTTCATGGCGGTAATTTATTAGTGGAAAATGAACCTGAATCAATTGATACAAGAATTGCCGATGTTGGTTTACACGGTCCTCCTTCCAGAGAAAAAAATTCTATAAATTATGGTGTTTTGCCATTTATTGCTCCTGAAGTTTTAAAAGGCAATGAATATACACAAGCTTCTGACATATATAGTTTTGGAATTATCATGTGGATGTTATCAACTTGTATACGTCCTTTCTGTCAAGTCCCTCATGATTCTGAGCTTGCTTTGAAAATATGTAATGGTTATCGTCCAGAAATAGTTGATGGTACTCCGGAAGTATTTTCAACTTTAATGAAAAGTTGTTGGGACAATGATCCAAATAAACGCCCGAAGGCTAGTGAATTAAGTGATATTTTAGGATCTTGGGTAACGGCAATTTGTGATGATCCAGATCCATCTCAAATTTCAGAACAGTTCGATGCTGCTGAAGAAAAAAAGTTTTTAGATTTAGAAAACAAACAATTTACAAAGCCAGAGATTCATCCTCTAGCAATATATAATAGTCGGCCTATTCATTTTTCGGCCACATAATGATTTGAGCAACATCCCAATGTCAGCTAAACACTTGGGAGAATTGCTTAAGAACACAACCGTTAATTTCTTACGTTTCGCTTGTAAATTGGCAAAACCATTATCGACATTTTTGGCAAAATCAAAAAAATCTGATATGACAAGAATATTTATGCAATTAAGGTTTCTATGATTTCAAATAAAAAAAAAAACGTTTTATCGGATACTATGAGAGGTTTATACAGGTTCTTTATTCGAAAAAGTCAGTAATCGCTCTTACCTTGCCTTATCTGTATGAAACCAGCAATTATATTATAAAAATTAATTCCTCATTTTTATAATATAATCGATGCGTAATGCAGATAAGGCAATGGCACTATAAATTTTAAGATGAACTTACGATTACTATATGAATGCTATGTGGAGAAAAACTTAATATGGGTAATTATTTGTAAACATGAACAAAATCTTGCATTTTAAGATATATACCGATGTGTATTATAAATTGTTGATTTGATTAGTGCTCAAATTTGTATTAGTAAGATAAACTCCGAATAGGTTATCACAGGGAATAGTGTTTCATACCACATCGTCACGTGATTACGCGAAATCACGTGAATGATTTTTGGACTCATAACGGCGACGCTAGGATGTCCAGAATTATGCGATTCCTTATTTAGATTTTGTCAATTATGCGAAATTTCGGAACTTTCAGCATTGAAAGTTTTTAGAATTTTTACTTGTCAAACATTTCATCTACCAATCACATCTCACCGACGTGTATCTTTATTACTTTCCAGTGTATGAAGACACTGCTTTTGCTAGAGGGCAGAAAGGCAGCGTATTTATAGAGAAATTACATGTATAAATTATTACAATAAAGAAATACAAAT